TATATATTTACTTTATATCGAAAAAAAAAATTATAGGTTTTGTTGGGTTGAATAATGTAAAAGCTAATGACTATGTTAATGTAATAATACAAGCATTAGCACATATTCCCCCACTTAGAGATTACTTTATGTTGCAAAACTTTGAAAATAAATCTCAATTAGGTAATTATTCACTTTTTTAATTTACTTACATGCAAAAACCTTTTTATAATCTTTCCACTCATTTGTATATTATTAGTTCAAAGATTTAGTACACTTGTTAAAAAAATATGGAATCCAAGAGCATTTAAAGGACAAGTTAGTCCTCATGAACTATTACAAGAAATATCAAATGCAAGTAATAAACGATTCAAACTTGCAGAACAAACAGATCCTCTTGATTTTCTATCTTGGTTTCTTAATACATTACATAAAGACTTATGTGGTACCAAGAAATCAGATTCAAGTATAATATATAAAATCTTTCAAGGAGAAGTAAAGGTAGAATCTCAATTCATAATTACAAAAGATAATACTGATGAAAAGAATCGTCAATTGTTTGATGTTGATAGAGGTGAAACTCCATTACTTATATATTAATTATTATTATTTGTTAAAATTTATATTAAAATTTTTTTTTCAATTATAAAAAAAAGAAATATCTTTAAAAAGGACACGATTTTTGTTTTTAACATTAGATTTACCACCACCACCTTTATTTCAGGATGAAGTCGAGAAAAATATCATTCCTCAAGTAAATAATTGATTTATATTTATTATATAGAGAGTGTATTCAATAATATAATATATATATTTTAGGTTGCATTATCAACAGTGCTTCAAAAATATGACGGTAGAACAACTCTGGTTAATTTCAATTTTCAAATTAATTTTAATGAATTTATAATTTCACATGCATGTATGCAGCATTTACTTATACTTAAAAAAAAATCATATATATAACAACAGGAATCAGCAGGTGCTTTAAAAAGATTTCAATTGATTAGTTTGCCTAATTACTTAATTTTCCATATTAAACGTTTCACAAAAAATAATTGGGATCTTGAGAAAAATCCCACAATTGTAAACTTCCCTATTAAAAACATTGATATGAAAGATTGTAAGTATGCATTCCATTATTGAAAACTATTCCTTGTCATTCATTGATTATTTTATGCCTTTAATCAATTAATTATCTATTTGTTTATTTTTAGTTCTTGAAAATCCAGAATCAGAAATGTTAGACACACATTATGATTTAATAGCAAATATATGCCATGAAGGCAAAGCAGGTAAAAGTAATGGGATTTATAAAGTACATGTTCAACATCGTGGTAAAGAACAATGGTATCAAATTCAAGATTTGATTGTGGAAGAGATTAATGCACAAATGATCTTTTTATCTGAAAGTTATATTCAGGTATTTTTTTGATTTTAATCTTCGTATATGATATTGGTGTTCCTTTTTTTGTATCAATGATTTTTTTAATAATTATATATATCCGTGTGTGTGTATATATGTATGTATATATCGAGTATTATTTAATAATAAAATTTTTTTGTAGGTTCGTCATTTAACTTTTTGGAGGAATGGTTTTAGCGTTGAAGATGGTCCTTTAATGGCTTATGATGATCCAGAAAATCAAGAATTTTTGAAAGCTATTAGAAGCGGGTATATTATTTATACAATTATAGATTATTATTTGTTAATTGTAAACCACAAATTCATAAAAAATATTAAATATCATCATAATAATATATATATAAGGCGTGCCCCCTTGTCATTACTAAATGTTAGTCAAAATCAACCAGTCGATGTACGAGTTTCACGTAGATTAGATGAAGATTACAAACCACCACCAAAGAAACCTACCAGACCATTTTCTGGATCTGGACAAAGACTTGGCAGGTCGGTATCTTTTTTTTAATATATATATATATATATATATATATATTTATACATATGTGTGTGTGTATTTATGTTTTCATTTATATATATGTATATGCAAAATAGTATAACACCAGTTGTTGTTTCCAGTCAAAGTACCGAAACTGACATTTTAAATACTGATACTGCTACTACTGATGCTACTACTACTAACACAACACAAAGTATACGAGAATTTGAAGTTGACGAGTCACTGCCAATCACATCACTCCAAATACGTTTAGCGGATGGAACAAGGTATCTTATTATTGTTGTTTCGTTGCTCATGTCACTTTGTTTGTTGTAATGTAAATCATTAAAAATTTATTTTTGATTGTTAGAATGCTTGCTAGGTTTAATCACACACATACTGTTAATGATATTCGAAATTTTATTAATGCGTGAGTTGGTTCATTCCATTTCAAAATCAATCAAACAACCAATTAATTGAATTTTCTCTTCAAATAAAATTTTTCTTAATAGCTCACGAGTTGGAGAAGCACAACGAAATTATTTATTACAAACATCATTTCCAGTAAATGATTTAAATGACGGATCACAAACTTTAGAAGAAGCATCTCTTCTTAACTCTGTGGTTATTCAGCGATACACTTAGAATTGAATAATTATTTGTTTATAAAGAATCCTCTTAAAAAAAAAGAATTAGTAATATTATTTGGACTATATAGTAGAATATTTGTCACATTATACCATTATAATAATATAATAATAAAAAACCAAATTTGTAATGATTATAATATTTGTTTATAAATTTTTTTTATAAACAAAAAATTTATAAACGATTTTTGATTTACGTTTACTGCTTTTTGATTTATTGGTTGGTTAAAAAGTTGGTCGATCCTTCAGAGTCACTGTCCAGGTTATCACTACCTTCATTTTGTGGTTGTTCTGGCATAGTGTAGTTGGATCTTCTGGGTATTCCCTATATCTAATACTAACTAACAATATCAAAGAGAGTTGTCTCAACCGATTAGGTCTTGTTATAGCAACAAGTGTAGATGGCATGTGATGTGCAGTCTATTGCTTGGTGTGTCTCTCGTATCCAGCCCAAAAGATTAGAAATTGTGTTGAAAAGTTCCGACCAACAGTTAACAATTTGAACAAGATAAGTCTTCAGGTATTGTTATGTCTCTGGTCGTGTTCCTTTGTGTTTTGTTGCATAGTTTCAAGATTCATATACCTAATCCCCGTAAGCTAATGTCCTTCAAATAAAGATTCTTGTTCTGAAACAAATGATATATTATTAATTAGTTCTTTTGAATATATTAATAATTGGAATTGAGTTACGATAATAAAATAATATTTTTAACAAAAAGGTTCAACGGTTCAAACGGTCTTTGATACCTAAGACCAGACCGACTCGGTCCGCAGTCCATTCAGTCTGACCGGACCGTTAACATTCCTATTTGTTTATTGTGATTTTATTTTATATTATGAATGCGCTGAACATCTTTATATTTTTGTAGCAGACGACCTGTAACGCATGTGGCAAGTGCAACATAATCTACAATTTATTGGCTGGATTCGCGCGTTTTTTTTATTTCAGTCTTATTTCTACTAAAAAAATTTATTACATATAATAACCCTGTGGATGTTTATTACGTTAGGATTACATTAGAGTTTTGTTGGAATTTTATTGTATTGCATTTTTTAAAAGCCTATTACAGAGTCGTTGCCTTGAACAAACTCCCCCAAACGAAACTTTTGCATATCGGTGGAAGGTATAGAGATTATATACAAGCAAGTGTTCCACCAGTTTATCCAGGGGTTTGTTAAATCCGAATATTTCTATTATCTAGTGATAGGCCGAAGAATGTTTCTTTAAGGTCTTTGTTACTTAGTCCTAAACCCACATTCAATTTTATTATTTTGAAATAATCCTTCACAAATCGATCGGCTTGTGTTGTTAATATGAATTTTTTTGAATCAATCATGCTGTGTATATGGCGAATCTATCTAATTGAGTATACCGTGACCGAAAAATAATTATTCGCAAAATTTGAACTTACTTTACAATTTTCTCCCAACTACGTTTAACATTTATGATTACCGACAAACTGGGAGAAGAAACCAAGGCCTGATTCTCTGGATTGTCAGACCCAAAATCGGATTTGCTTGATTCAGAGGATTTGGATTCAGATGTATCACGTTTAGGCTTTAGCTTATCGACTCAACTATATCTTTTCTAATCTCCCTTTCGAGCTTTCTGAGTTCTCAAGCAACTTATTATAATCAGATTTTGTGATGCGAAGGATCGAGTTTTTGACTCTTCTTTCGTGATTGATGAATTACTTACAATCATGGCAATATAAATTATATCTTTTAGAGAAAAAAAATCAATAATTGCGATAATTGTTTTATTCTTTATGAACTTGAGTATTCGAGTTAAGAGATTAGAATCTTTATGGTATTGCTATATAATGATAAATATTTATGAGTTGTAATAGTTGTGCATTAGTAGTTCGACACTTTTTCAAAATTGATATATTAAAAACTGTTGTGTAGGATCTGCTAAATTTGTCAATAATATTTAAATTTGAAATAATGAATGTTGGAATTCTTTGTACATGTTACAACAAAATAAAAATGGCTAGACATATACATATTCGAAATTCGTTAAAACAAAAAATCGGTTCCACAAAAATTTTAATTTTTTTTTACAAAAATGACTCGAGATGATGATAAATCAAATCATGCAAAACGTGATTTAGAGACTCAAAATGTTGATACTTTTGTTGATAGAGAGCCAGACTCTAAAAAAATTCGCCTTCAAGAAAGCAAAAATAGTAATAATTCAAGTGATCTTTATTTGGATACTGTAGGTTTTTTGTTATATATCTATTTTTCAAGGATTCTTTTAATTAATTATTTGTTTATTAGATAAATCGACACATGTTAGATTTTGATTTTGAAAAAGTATGTTCAGTTTCTTTGTCAAATCTAAATGTTTATGCCTGTTTAGTATGTGGCAAATATTTTCAAGGTAATGTAATATAATTGAAAAACATAAATATTAAAGCAACTGCATTGCTTAAAATAACTGTATAAATATTTTATTTAGGACGAGGTCGTAATTCACATGCTTATTTCCATAGTTTACATGAAGATCATCATGTTTTTATTAATTTACATACTCTAAAAGTTAGTATTAAA